TTGTAGTTCTGTCAGTGTCAAAGCTCCATCTAGTTCTCTTGCTTGTGATTGGGATAATGTCTGGATAATGGACTTACCGGGTCTAATATCCCCTGTCAGTTTTGGGGCTAAGAGTAGGTTGTAGAAGGTAGTATAATATTTCTCAAATTCGGCTGCGATATCTGCAGAAGTTTTAAGTACGTGACTTTGTTTGGAGTTGAGTTGATGAATGGTGCGAGACGCTTTTTTAGATTGCAAGGCCCTGGCTAAAAATTTGTCACTCTTATTTCCATGTTCATAAAAGAGTTTTTGAGATAAAGTAAAATTACACTTAGTTTTCTTTTCCACTATGTCTCGAAGTTGTTTGCGTGCCTGATCAAGTTCGGGTCGCAGAGTTTACAGCCTTGGAGCGTTTATGTGAGCATTCAAGTTTATGTACTTTATGAAGTATAGAAGTAAAAGATGCCTGAGCTATACGTTTTTCGAGAAGCAGTGACTGAAAGAAGGAGCCCACGTATCACACATTTGTGTGCTTCCCATTGAATGAGAGGTGTCTTTTCCGGGGATGTATTTTCCTTAAAATAATTGGTCAGAGATTCACAAATTTGGAGGGTAATGGATGAGTTTGTAAGGAGAAAGGGATCTAATCTCCATGTTTTGGATGTAGGTGGGGCATCGGGAATATGTATAGTCATCATGATAGGGTGATGTCAGAAAGAATCATTGGTTCAATAGAGGCTGACTTTAATGTGTGTAAGTCTTTTTGTGAAAGAGTCAATTCTGGAATAACGCTTGTGAGGTGCAAAGAAAAAAGTGTAGTCTTTGTCAGAGGGGTGTAGTAGAGTACGCCATATATCATGAAGAAGAAGGTCATTCAGTTCAATTTTAATCTGTTTAAGTGCTCGAAAGGGTTTCGATGAAGAGCCTGTCAAAGTGTCTTCCAATGGATTCAGTGCTACATTAAAATCGCCCCTAAGAATCAGGATACCCGGTTGAAATGTTGCAAGTGTTTTAGAAAGTGATGGAAAAAGCTCACTTGTGCTGTATTGGGGCTGTAAATATTAGCTAAAGTAAGTGGTTTGTTGTAGAGGGTGCCTTTAAGGAAGAGGAACCTTCCCTCCGGGTCCTCGAGAGTCAGTAATTGTGAGTGAGAGTGTTTTGGAGATCAAAATGGACACACCTTTTGCTTTCACCTCTGTATTAACTAAATAGTAGTAGACTGTTGGGTAATTAGCATTGGAAAATTTAGGGAAATGATCAGCACAAAAGTGGTATGCATCGTGGCATGTGTGCCATCTCTGCCTTACTAGTTTTGTCAAAGATGGCATCATCAGGAGGTCAAGACACACTCTGCCATTCATCCTTTTTATACAAAACAGGAAAGCAGACATCCTAATTAGTGCAGAGTACACAGGGCGGAGATAGTTAACCCTGCATACATATTGCAGTGCCAAACACATTCAGTGCTGTGTCATGAATGGTGATATAGCAAGGTAAGAGTGTTGATGGCTTCTCTAATGCGCCATCTTGTGGTTAAAAGTAAAATTTACTACAAAAAGTTAGAGACACTTTTTGAGATACTTTTTTTATTTGCACTAACAAACAATTTTGAGGACAAGCTTTCGGGGAGTGTCCCCTTCTTCAGGTCCAAGCAGTACTGATCACAAAAGGTATAGCAGAATGTTAGAAGAGATGTAGGGGATGAAAAAAAAAAAAAAAGGAAGAGAACAGAGATAAGACACAGCAAAAGCAAAGTGGGGGGGACAACACTCACAGAGGTAGTCATGCTTGAGGTGATAAAACTGTTGGATAATGATTGAGGAATCCCATGTCCAAATTCAGGCCGTTATCTCTTGTGTCAAATAGAATTATCATTCTTAGTTCAAAAGTTTTTCTTTCCTGAATGGATTTGAAATTTCCTTTAAGAACTAAAATATTGAGGTCTCCCACTGTGTGGTCTGGTTGTGCGAAATGGTGTCCCACAGGTGTGCACAAGTCATCTTCTTTATGCTCCTTGATGGTATGTCTGTGCAAATAAAGAAGATAAAGTTAAAGATGAAGTTAAAGATAAAGAAGATGACTTTTGCTTTTGCGGTGTCTTCTCTCTGTTCTTTTTTTTTTTTCCCATCTCCTACATCTCTAACATTCTGCTATACCTTTGTGATCAGTACTGCTTGGACCTGAAGAAGGGGACACTCCCCAAAAGCTTGTTTGTTAGTGCAATTGTTTCTGCCACAAAAGCACTAATATGGCTACAATCACCTCTCGCTACAAAAAATTAAATATAAGTGCAAAGAATTAACAAAAATCATCAACCTATTAATATCCTTATACTGTTATAAAAAAAAATATTTAAAAACAAGAAATTTATTGCACAAATATTAAAGTATCTTTTTAGACAGATATTTCCTAAAATTCCTGGAAATGTGTTCTATATACAGTATCTCACGGAAGTGAGTACACCCCTCACATTTTTGTAAATATTTTATTCTATCTTTTCATGTGACAACACTGAAGAAATGACACTTTGCTACAATGTAAAGTAGTGATTGTACATCTTGTATAACAGTGTAAATTTGCTGTCCCCTCAAAATAACTCAACACACAGCCATTAATGTCTAAACCACTGGCAACAAAAGTGAGTACACACCCCTAAGTGATAGAAAGAAGATAGCGCCGCGCTCCTATATAATATATACAGCTTAAGCTTAAGCTTTAGAGGTGTATCAAATTCCAATATGAACTGTGACTATACCACTAAATGCATATAGAATATTACATATAAATGACATGCATGGTGTAAAAACCTATACTAATATTGCCTTAATGGGTGCCATAATGAAATCCTGTGTTGCACCCATATAAAGCTATGTGTACTCTATATTAATATGTGCACATGCTAAAAATAAACAAATAAAAATACAGTCTTTAAGGTAAATGTGCAAGTAAAGATTCTGTTCCTTGTCTCCGAGTGCTAAATGGTCTCCTTATGTGCTCACCTCTATATTTGCCTGAATGAATCCAGGCAAATACGCTTTTTATCCTTCCAGGATAGATGAAATGGGATGATGTCTTTGCTCTAGCCGTCCTATGAGGTGAATATACATATGGATGGATCCTCCTGTTGTCTACTTTATCTCCCTGTGTACCTGTGAGTACACTGAGTAGCTCTCTTGGGATCTCCCAATTCCCCTCCTGGGGTTGTTTCCTCTTTTACTCCTCCTAATGTCAGCTCATGGGATGTATGGTCAAAGAAAAGGAAAAGCAGACCATAGTGTCTTATCCTTATATAAAGTGGATTTATTTAAGCCAGTAACAAGTTGATAGTATGCAGCTCATAAATGATCCAGACAGGCTTAGATGGCAATCAGCAGGTAAAAAGTAGGTACATAGAAAACCTCTCTGCAGCTGCCCCTGCAGTGCTGTCTGCCTGTGCTTGTACTCGGATCTGCTCGCTTCTCCAGTGCAATGTCGTGACGTCAGAGCCCCTCCCCTACGCGTTGCGTCACAGGGTCACGTGACTTCATCAGGGGGAATTTGATTGGATGCCACGACTATGCATGCCCAGCTATTTATATGTCTCAGCCGCCATTTTTTCAAAGCCCATATGGGCGCGGCCATTTTCCCAGTGATTTTCCCTAGCTGTATTTCTGGTGAGTAATTCCAATGAGTGTGTAAATAAGATTACATGGGCATTTTAGGGCATAGATAACTCCCTTTGTGTCACATGATAGAAATTGCTGGATAGTGTATTCCTTTCCATTTAGGGGATTCTGAAATGTGTATCTTCTCCTTAGATTGTTAGTCACCCTAATGCAACTGTAACATCTACCACATGTATAGAACCCTTTACCTTGAAAGAAGCTTATTTGTTGATTTTTGACAGGTGGTGCTATTACGCTCTTAACAACCTTATCCCTGATGTTGGGAGCTTTTTGGTATATAAATCTAGGCATTATAGGGATATTATTTTTCAGGTGCCTATCTAATGTCAAAATGTTCCAATGTTTTTTTATTATGTTCTGTATTGATTTATACTGAGTGTTAAATTGCAGCACAACTGCTAATTCCTCATTTGCAGCATTATCTTTACATTTATCTGCTATCATTATCTTTAGACAGCACTGCAGGGGCAGCTGCAGAGAGGTTTTCTATGTACCTACTTTTTACCTGCTGATTGCCATCTAAGCCTGTCTGGATCATTTATGAGCTGCATACTATCAACTTGTTACTGGCTTAAATAAATCCACTTTATATAAGGATAAGACACTATGGTCTGCTTTTCCTTTTCTTTGACCATACATCCCATGAGCTGACATTAGGAGGAGTAAAAGAGGAAACAACCCCAGGAGGGGAATTGGGAGATCCCAAGAGAGCTACTCAGTGTACTCACAGGTACACAGGGAGATAAAGTAGACAACAGGAGGATCCATCCATATGTATATTCACCTCATAGGACGGCTAGAGCAAAGACATCATCCCATTTCATCTATCCTGGAAGGATAAAAAAAGCGTATTTGCCTGGATTCATTCAGGCAAATATAGAGGTGAGCACATAAGGAGACCATTTAGCACTCGGAGACAAGGAACAGAATCTTTACTTGCACATTTACCTTAAAGACTGTATTTTTATTTGTTTATTTTTAGCATGTGCACATATTAATATAGAGTACACATAGCTTTATATGGGTGCAACACAGGATTTCATTATGGCACCCATTAAGGCAATATTAGTATAGGTTTTTACACCATGCATGTCATTTATATGTAATATTCTATATGCATTTAGTGGTATAGTCACAGTTCATATTGGAATTTGATACACCTCTAAAGCTTAAGCTTAAGCTGTATATATTATATAGGAGCGCGGCGCTATCTTCCTTCTATCATCTATATACACTAGTCAAGAGAGTTAGTGCAAGTGCCAGCGCACCCTATACACTTTCAGAATTTATTTAACACCTTGATCCATAATAGCTCACAAGTATTCACTATAATTATTTATACACCCCTAAGTGAAAATGTCCAAATTGGGCCCAATTAGCCATTTTCCTTCCCCGGTGTCATGTGACTCGTTAGTGTTACAAGGTCTCAGGTGTGAATAAATTTGGTGTTATCGGTCTCACTCTCTCATACTGGTCACTGGAGGTTCAACATTGCACTCCATGGCTAGGAACTCTGAGGATCTGAAAAAAGAATTGTAGCTCTACATAAAGATGGCCTAGGCTATAAGAAGATTGCCAAGACCCTGAAACTGAGCTGCAGCACGGTGTCCAAGACCATACAGCAGTTTAACAGGACAGGTTCCACTCAGAACAGGCCTCGCCATGGTCGATTAAAGAAGTTGAGTGCACGTACTCAGCGTCATATCCAGAGGTTGTCTTTGGGAAATAGACATATGAGTGCTGCCAGCATTGCTGCAGAGGTTGAAGGGGTGGGGGGGGGGGGGGGGGTCAGCCTGTCAGTGCTCAGAACATACGCCGCACACTGCATCAAACTGGTCTGCATGGCTGTCGTCCCAGAAGGAAGCCTCTTCTAAAGATGATGCACAAGAAAGCCCGCAAACAGTTTGCTGAAGACAAGCGGACTAAGGACATAGATTACTGGAACCATGTCCTGTGGTCTGATGAGACCAAGATGACCTTATTTGGTTCAGAGGATGTCAAGCGTGTGAGGAATATAAAAGGCAAGTGTGTCTTGCCTACAGTCAAGCATGGTGGTGGGAGTTTCATGGTCTGGGACTGCATGAGTGCTACTGGCACTGGGGAGCTACAGTTCATTGAGGGAACCATGAATGCCAAGATGTACTGTGACATACTGAAGCAGAGCATGATCCCCTCCCTTCGGAGACAGGGCAGTATTCCAACATGGTAACGACCCCAAAACACACCTTCAAGATGACCACTGCCTTGCTAAAGAAGCTGAGGGTAAAGGTGGTGGACTGCCAGGCATGTCTCCAGACCTAAACCCTGTTGAGCATCTGTGGGGCATCCTCAAAGGGAAGGTGTAGGAGCGCAAGGTCTCGAACATCCACCAGCTCCAAGATATCTAAATCAATATACACCCTCCTCCTTTATAACCCCTCAAAAAGTCAATACTTCCTCCCTAGTGCAATGATATATATATTTATATATATATATATATATAACCTTTTTGTGATATATTATAATAAATAAATTAAGTAAAATAAATTTAAACATAAAGTGTACAATAGAGTCCAACAAGTCAGACGAAGTCCGGAAGTGACGAAACGCGTTAGAGGAGTGACGTCAAGACGCACGTACGCAGACCGGAAGTGTCGCCGTGGCCATTTTGTCGCTTATCCACACATGGTTTTCTACAGTGTTTGGTGGAATTTGCTAAGAACCATGTCTGGAGCTGAAAATTTCTAATTTTAATATAAGTGATCAATAAAAAGTTATCCCTATGCTTTGAATATCAGTCCTGAGACCATTCTTATCTTTCTGAGGACCTTAGAAAAATATCTTTGAAAAGAATATGGAGGATTACTGATCCATAGTATTGTTAAAGCCTTTCAATACTCATAGAGGGTAATAGCATTTAGTACTACTGTGTGCTGGTTGATGGTATACACTGAGTTGCAGTGATCACAGAGTGTTCACAGTTTGATTTGTGTGATTATATGCACTATAAGAAAGCAATTTAGATTTAAATAATTTATTTATTTGGATTTTTTTTTTTTTTGTTGCACAAATGTTTTTGAAGTGAATTGTGATTTTCACGGGGTGATTATTTTTGTTTATTGAGGTAATGCACTAGATTTTATATTTTTTACTTTGAGGTGCGTATTGGATGGAATAGGAGTTAATCCTTCTATTGGATGAAAAAGTTGGAAAATTTGGGACTTTTTTGGACACTGTTTGGACTTTCTTTTTGGACACCTTTTTGATTTGTTGGACTTTATGTTTAAATTTATTTATTTTATTATATATCACAAAAAGGTTATATTTAGCTCCAAGATATCGTCATGGAGGAGTGGAAGAGGACTCCAGTGGCAACCTGTAAAGTTCTGGTGAACTCCATGCCCAAGAGGATTAAAGAAGTGCTGGAAAATAATGGTGGACACCCCAAATATTGACACTTAGGACACTGTTATGCAAGCTGTACACTCACTATGTCACATTGTAGCAAAGTGTCATTTCTTCAGTGTTGTCACATGAAAAGATATAATAAAAAATTTACAAAAATGTGAGGGGTGTACTCACTTCCGTGAGATACTGTATATAGAACACATTTCCAGGAATTTTAGGAAATATCTGTCCAAAAAGATACTTTAATATTTGTGCAATAAATTTCTTGTTTTTAAATATTTTTTTTTATAACAGTATAAGGATATTAATAGGTTGATGATTTTTGTTAATTCTTTGCACTTATATTTAATTTTTTGTAGCGAGAGGTGATTGTAGCCATATTAGTGCTTTTGTGGCAGAAACAATTGCACTAACAAACAAGCTTTTGGGGAGTGTCCCCTTCTTCAGGTCCAAGCAGTACTGATCACAAAGGTATAGCAGAATGTTAGAGATGTAGGAGATGGGGAAAAAAAAAAAACAGAACAGAGAGAAGACACCGCAAAAGCAAAAGTCATCTTCTTTATCTTTAACTTCATCTTTAACTTTATCTTCTTTATTTGCACAGACATACCATCAAGGAACATAAGGAAGATGACTTGTGCACACCTGTGGGACACCATTTCTCACAACCAGACCACACAGTGGGAGACCTCAATATTTAGTTCTTAAAGGAAATTTCAAAATCCATTCAGGAAAGAAAAACTTTTGAACTAAGAATGATAATTCTATTTGACACAAGAGATAACGGCCTGAATTTGGACATGGGATTCCTCAATCATTATCCAACAGTTTTATCACCTCAAGCATGACTACCTCTGTGAGTGTTGTCCCCCCCCCCCCCCCCCCCCCCCACTTTGCTTTTGCTGTGTCTTATCTCTGTTCTCTTCCTTTTTTTTTTTTTTTCATCCCCTACATCTCTTCTAACATTCTGCTATACCTTTTGTGATCAGTACTGCTTGGACCTGAAGAAGGGGACACTCCCCGAAAGCTTGTCCTCAAAATTGTTTGTTAGTGCAAATAAAAAAAGTATCACGGACAGTACTCAATTGTCTCTAACTTTTTGTAGTAAATTTTACTTTTAACCACAAGATGGCGCATTAGAGAAGTCATCAACACTCTTACCTTGCTATATCACCATTCATGACACAGCACTGAATGTGTTTGGCACTGCAACATGTATGCAGGGTTAACTATCTCCACCCTGTGTACTCTGCACTAATTAGGATGTCTGCTTTCCTGTTTTGTATAAAAAGGATGAATGGCAGAGTGTGTCTTGACCTCCTGATGATGCCATCTTTGACAAAACTAGTAAGGCAGAGATGGCACACATGCCACGATGCATACATGATTCCGCTGCAGTCATCTTGGATTCTGGAGTATAAGTTGTTTATATGATATGAAGTGCCTGATTGTTATCTTTTCATTGTAAGTGCATTTACCACATTAAATTGGTGTTTTAATCTGTCTTTTTTCTTTTTCATGATACTATATCCAACTGAGTATATATGCACAGTGATCTGATATAAAGCAGCAGTACTATCGTTTGGCATGTGGTATTGAGGAAAGCTGGATATCTTGGATTGATACACAAGCACTGGTTGACCACTCTTAATTGAGGGTCGTATGATTGTGGTAAGCCTCCCACTGTTGTACACCGAGGTGCTGTGTAGTTTGTCATTAAGACGTTTTGGAAGCATTTGGTATCCACATCTGTCATTTCCCTCAATCAAGAAACCGCTGCATTCACAGTTTTTGGCTTCACATTTGGATTCCTTTATATTTTTCAATTTGTGGTGACACATACGAGTTTGATATGTTTGCATTGCACTATTGTATTGCACATACATTTTAATTTTATCTTAGTGCTGCACTATTGTTTTGTGATGCTTATTATACTATGTATTATGGTATCATGCTAGCTGCTGGTTTTTTTATATTCAACAGAGTCCTAGCGCTTTTTTTTTTTTTTAAAGAGACATCCCAGTCCAACAAAAAAAAGATATTACCATATAGCAAAGAGATGGCCCAGTCCAGCAGAGACATCCCTATATATTCAGCAAAGAGACATGCCAATCCAGCAAATAGACATCCCCATATAGCAGAGAGACACCCCCATATAGAAAAAAGGCAGTCCGATGCAGCAAAGAGAGAACATCCCAATCCAGCAAATGAGACAGCCCAATCCAGCAGAGACATCCCCATATATTCAGCAAAGAGACATTCCAATCCATCAAAGAGACATTCCCATATATTGAGCAAAGAAACAGCCCATTCCAACAAAGAAACATCCCAATCCAGCAAAGAGATGGTCAAATCCAGCAGAGACATCCCATATATTCAGCAAAGAGGAATCCCAATCCAGCAAAGAGACATCGCCATATCGCAAAGAAACTCCCCATATAGCAGAGACAGCCCAATCCAGGAAAGAGTCACAGCACAGTCCCACATCCAGCAACATTGTCAATCAATTTACCATTGTGATGTCTACCAACTTGTCTCCAGACCAGTCCACAGTGAGCACTGAGCAGTCCTGCAGGCAGCCCCCTCACACTTGTATGCACCCAGCCCCCCTCACACATATACACACTAAGACTCCCTCACCTGTACGCACTAAGCCCTGCTCACATCTATGCACACTCAACCCCCCTCATACCTGTATGAACTCAGCCCCCCTCACAGTTAAACACACACATAGCCCTCCTCACACCTGTACACACTCAGCCCCCCTCACACCTGTACACACACTTGGCCTCTCCCCACACTTGTACACACTCTGCCCCCTCACACCTGTACGTACTCAGCCCCCCACACATCTGCATGCAATCAGCCCCCCCCCACACCTGTACACACTCTGCCCCCCTCACACCTGAACGCACCCAGCCCCCCCACACACCTGCATGCAATCAGCCCCCCCCACACCTGCATGCAATCAGCCCCCCCCACACACCTGCGCGCACTCGCCCCCCCCCCTCACACCTGCGCGCACCCGGCCCCCCCTCACACC